AAACAGCCGCTTACACCTCTGCTCGGTGGAGAGGTTTCCCCAATGCAAGAGTAACAACCGCTGGGGCAGGGGAGGGTTTCCTGAGCACAGTTGTTACAGCTCTGCTCAGGCCCCCAAGTATAACAACTCTGTTCCTAGAGGAAAGTTTCCCCAGTCAAAGTGTTACAGTTCTGCTCTGCTCAGCTCTGCTCCAGCAAAAGTTGTTAAAGCTGGGCTCCCCTAAGGCGAAAGTGTCACACTGCACAACAAACCTCACTTAAGAGATTTAGTGGGAGAGAAGAATCCATGAGGGTGGCTGCCTCTAAGGTGAGAAGCAGCAGCAAATTGAACAGGGTAAGAGCTTATATAGGTTTTCTTGGAGGCTGGGGCTTTCCAGGATGGCTTGGGATTGGCGGTTTTTGTGGTCTGATTGTGGAGCAAGCTCGGGAGTTGGTGAGATTTCAAACCCTAATCCTGGGGTCTGGTCTGTGGCAGGGTGTTTTTCCCTTGGCTCTTTTCATCCTACACTAGTGCACAGTCACAATCTAAACAAAACAAAACTAGACTCCAACAGTGTAAATCACTTAATGCCCCCTGTCTGGGTTTCACTTAACGATAATCTGGACCCCTCCAAAGGGCCTGGGTCTAGCTCCACCCTCTGCAGCCCACACAGCTTCTCCTAGGCTCACACACACACTCCACTCCATCTCCATCTGTCTACCTTGGTGATCATCCGAGGGTACTGACATCTGACAACCCATCTGCTAGGTTTTCTACAACAATTGGGCTGTACTTTCACCAAAGTCTCTTCTGGGCTTTTCTTCGGGACTCCAGCTCTGTCACAGTGCCAAGCCTCAGCTGCTCTCCATGACCCTTCTATGACTTGAAAACCAGTACCATCTAAGTGACTCTTATACTACCAAGTTCAGCTATCAACATGAAATACAATGTCAGCCACCTCTGGAACACAGCTTCTGTGTGCTGACCCTGAGGAAACACTTCCCAGAAGACTTCACTTCAGTTATGCTAAGCTCTTAAGAAATCACCACTGAGACCAGGAGTGATAGAGCACGCCTTTAATTCCAACACTTGGGAGGCAGAGGCAGGTGGATCTCTATGAGTTCAAGGCCAGCCTGGTCTACAAAGTAAGTGAGTTCCAGGACAGCCAGGGCTGTTACACAGAGGAACTGTCTTTAAACATCAAAAAGAAAAAGAAAAAAAAAAAAAAAAAAAAAACCCACTGACCAGCATCCATTGCCTCAACAAATGGTGGTTCTGGTTTCCTGTTAATCAAAGTTTGATTCTTCAGCTCCAGCTGATCAGACACCATGGATTCCTCACACAAATCAACCCTGTTGGGGGGCTGCATATCAGATAGTTACATTAGGGTTCATAACAGCAAATTTACAGTTACAAAGTAGCAATGAGAATAATTTTATGGTTGGGAGTCACCACAACACGAGGGTTGCAGCATTAGAAAAGTTGAGAACCACTGCTCTAAAACATCACAAGCCAGACCTCCATTGTCCAGATTGCGCTGTACGTTCTTAACTTCCAAGCGCCTACAGAGTAGCTTACTGAGCTCTCAACACTTGGTGGCTTTTCTAGCTCTAAAGTTTCCAAGTCCTTCCACAATCTCTCCACAATAACATAGCCAGGTCTGTCACAACCATACCCACTATCCTGGTATCAGTTTCTGCTTAGTTAGGGTTAGTAACTGCTGCTGCGATGAAACACCATGACCAAAGCAAGTTGAGGAGGAAAGGGTGTGTTTCACTTACACTTCTACATCACTGTTCATCATCAAAGGTGGTCCGGGCAGAAACCTGGAGTCGAGAGCTGATGCAGAGGCCGTGGAGGATTGCTGTTTACTGCCTTGCTCATTGTGGCTTGCTCAGCCTGCATTTTTTTTTATAGACCCCAGGACCACCGGCCAAGGGATGGCACCATCCACATCAATCACTACAGGCTTGCCTGCCTACAGCCTGATCTTAAGGAGGCAGTTTCTCAAGTGAGGTTCCCTCCTCTCAGATAACTAGCTTGTGTGGAGGTGACATAAAACCAGCCACCAGAGTGCACTACTCTTGCAGAGGAACAGAGTTCGGTGCCAGCATCCCTGTCCAGCAGCTCACAACCACCCATCCCTCAACTCCTGGAAAATTGAATATTAAGCAACATTTTCTCAAGTAGAGCCAAGTCCTTATAGCTAAGATTTTTGCATTTAATTAAAATATAATAAAATTTCAGTCCACCATTTTCCCTTCCTCTTCTCCCTTTTACATTCCCTACTGGCCCCCTCCCAAAGTCATGGCCTCCTTTAAAAAAAGATT